TTGGTGGTGGCTGGGCACGAATCTCATTTTGCCTCAAATGAGATTCCTAGCGTCAAAAGGACAGGGCCAAGCTCATCTCGCTAATTTACGATTTTTCCTGTTAAAAAAATATATTTGTGTGTGAATTACTAGCAATCTGTGCAACCTGCAGAGAGAAACACCGCTAAGACGTTACCCGAAAAAACGATTGGCTCTACCCTGAGGAAACTGGTCAACAAGTCCTACCTCAAAGTTGTGCCTCAAAGTCCTACCTCAAAGTTGTGTTGTAGGAACGTTCTGCTCCTTTGTTAGTTAGTTAGCCGGTATTTTTAATTTCCTTGACTTCAAAGCAACCAGGTAGATTCCCTTTATCGTTTCTGTTTTTTTTTTTTTTTTACAGACCTACTAAAGAGGCTGCGGTTGAAACCATCGGTCGCATGGCCCTCACCCCTTCGATTCCATTCCTTGAGGCTCCAAATACACCAGGCTGGACTCCAGGATCAGAAGGGGGATCTCTTTTGACACCTTCGGTGACCAATGTATATATTTATATAACAACTTTATTGTAATAATCAATACAAAGGGCTGCCATCAGAGAGGAACTGAATCCTCATGTAAGATGACCCCCAAAAATATCTACAAAGCTATGAAGGAAATATAAATCGGATAAAAAGTATTTGTAAGGAAAAATGTAAAAAATATCGCTAAAGTGTATCTATCAGAATGGAGTTATTAAATTATCAAATTAAATATGCAATCGCAACGATTTTATATTCATCACACACTAGTTAAAAAGTGTTCTCTTAAGCCCTTTTCAAATTTTGACAATGAATCGGCACATATTAGAGAATCTGGTAACGATTTCCATTTATCTATATATCTATGCCAGAAAGAGAATTTTAAGATATTAGTTCTTGATCTAGTGCTAGCACGAGAGAACGATAAATAATTATCAAGCTTAACTCTCAAGAAACCATTAATAAACTTCAATAGTTGAATCATCGATAGATATTCCCTCCGGGACTTAAGGTCCATCCAGCCAAGGTATTGCAGACGCTCGGTATAATCAATGGGTCCAGCAAGGATCCAGCGTGAGACAATTCTTTGGATTCTTTTAAGTTTGTCTGACAGGTAGGCTTCATGTGGATTCCAAACGGGACATGCGTATTCGATGATAGGACGAACCACTGTTTTGTATACAGTTATTATTGCTTCAGAGCACCTGCCAAATGTGCGTTTTAATAGACCCAAGATCCTGTTAGCTTTAGCAGCTATTGTAAGGACATTATTTGTTACACCCAGATGCTTGTGGGTGCCTACTTGTTTCAAGGGTAAAGAGTTGATGGAATACGAACACTGTCCATTAACCTTAGATCTTGTTATTCTCATGCACTTAATCAATCCTACAACACAGCAATGGACACTATTGCGAATCTTAATGAACGAGAGGTAGAACGTGAACCCCTTACATTTCAATTAAAAACTCCCTTGCAAAATCTGACCAAAAGGGAACAATTGAATGTAGTGCAAAAAGCGAAAGACTTGTGCGTAGTGTAACTGCGCCGTGCAATGGAGGAGAGCTGTTCCAATTGACGGTTTCAGTCAAAAGAGAGATGTACGAGGGCCCAGTCCCAGATAATACTGTGGTCCTGATGAGTGCCTACAAGAACGCGAAGACAAGAAATTTAAAGAGGCAGATTCTTAGTCTTTACGCCTATAGGTACCCTATAAACACGCTGAAAAAAACTTCACTTGCCCTATGTAAAAATCTCTACTTGGGAAATCAAGCAGGCACGTTGTCACACTAATTTACACGGGCCCGGTACTATCCCTGAGACCACAAC